GTCCTGCAAATGGCTGGCAAAACCCACTGGACCTGTTGGGGTTCCAGGGCTGCCAGGGGCTGCAGGCTTCTCTAGCAAGCCTTGCGGTCTCTTCATGCCCCACCCTACATGCTCATCTCTGCTTTCTTCACCAGCTATGAAGTGCAGTTGGAGAGCAAGGTGCGGCGGAAAGGCCTGGGGAAGTTCCTCATACAGATCCTGCAGCTTATGGCCAATAGGTAGGGGTCACCTTCTTGGGAGTCCCCATGTGTCACTCAGTTGGAAGCAGTTGCCTCTGAGACTTCTCTGTTCTTTGAGCCTGCTTGGAGGACAAGGCTCATAAGAATGTTACGGAAGAAAGGCAGCTAGAATCCTCTCAGTAAGATGCCCCCCTCTGTGCTGTGACTCTAGATTTTGCATAGTTGGCTCAGCACAGCAAGCATCTTTTGAGTGCCTGATCTGTACTAAGGCCTTTCCCTAAGTAAGAGGGCTTCAGGGGAGAAGTAGGAAAGATGCCTGGTTTAGAAGAAGCCAGTTGGTTGGGAGCCTGCTGCCCATGCAGAATGGTCAGCCTGTGAGGGGGAAGCACCTGGGTATCCTGCCCACCCTAAGAACCTGGGCACAGTGTTGCATCCTATAGTCTCAGCTACTTAGGAGGCTGAGGCAGGAGGATTGTGGACTCCTGGCCCATGTGAGCAACGTAGCAAGACTGTCTGAAGCAGCTATGTGTGGCTGGCGGTGCACTCCTGTGGTCCCGGCTACTTGAGAGCGTGAGGCAGGATCATAACACAATGAGGTCCTGTCCAAAAAAAACCCAAAAACACCACCACCCATACCACTAAAAAGTTAGAAATAAGTAGATGATCATTGTGTTTCCTTTCAGCACACAGATGAAGAAGGTTATGTTAACAGTATTTAAGCACAATCATGGTGCCTACCAGTTCTTCAGAGAAGCATTGCAGTAAGTAGCTGGGCTCCAGTCTGAGGCCCCAATGAGAGGTAGGAGGTGCCTGCTCTAGTCCCATTTGGTCTTGGCCCCACCATCCTAATGCCTCTGCTCATGGTCCAGTGATCTATGAGGGTTTGCGATTGGTGAGATGGTGTGGTACTGCTTTCCAGTTTGGTCCCCTGTCCTCTCCTGTCCCAGAGGTCTCATAGTATGGCAGGTAGGAACGTGCTCAGGCCAGGGAGAGAGACCTTCAGCTGGCTGGAACCAACCCTTTTCTCATGCCTGCCTTGCAGATTCGAAATTGACGACTCTTCCCCCAGCATGTCTGGGTGCTGTGGGGAGGACTGCTCCTATGAGATCCTGAGCCGCAGGACCAAGTTTGGGGACAGCCAGCACTCCCACGCGGGCGGGCACTGTGGTGGCTGCTGCCACTGAAGTCAGAGCGACGTGCAAGTCAGAGCACTCTCCTAAGGCCTGTCCTCTTTCCTGGTCTCATGCCGCTTGCCAGATGCCCTCAGAGCTACGGCCTCCTCAGCCCTGCATGTGCCAGGCTGCACTCTGAGAGCCCAGAACATGGGAGGAGTGGTCCATGCTGCCCCTCTTCCTTTCTCCTAGAAGGCCAGGGTGCCAGGAGGGAGTGAAGAGGAGAGGAAGAGCTGGCAGAGGCCTGACCATGAAGCTCATCCTTGGTAGGCGTTTGAGCCCTCAAGGGGAAGGTTCCCCCACTTCTCTGCAGCTGGATTATTGATAGTCTCCCCAACACACACTTGGACAAATGGAGTGTTTTATACCCACTTTTACAAAAGTCCTGGAGTCTTGGGTCTGAGGTCTGCTGGTCCCCAAAGAGAATGCATAATGTAAAGGATCTGGGCATAGGGAGAGACTTTAGAGAGACGCTTGCGGGCAGAATGCTGTGGAGGACCTGGGAAGATCCTTTGTGCCAAGATACAGGGAAGCAAGGAAAGGTCTCTGTAGCCATGTGCTTATAGACCCATAGAGTAGTGTCAACTTGGGACCAGCCAACTCTGGGAGTAAAGCTGCCTCTCTCCGTCCCTGTTGGTGAGAGGAGCTGCGAAGGCTAAGAAGGAAATTTTGTCGGGGCCCGCCATGGGGATGGTGGCTTCTCTGGGCTTTTGGACATTGCTGCATTCTCAGCTTAGTCTCTCAATTCAATGGCAGTGACTCAAGCTCTTCATTGCTGGAAGGAAGCCACAGGTCCTGCCCGTTCCTCTCTATCACTTCTCACCACTCTCTTCCCCCTTACCCTAGCCCCGTATTACCTCTGTTCCTAGTCTCAAGGGGGGAATAACATCAGGGAGCCCCTCGTCTTCCCCCAGAAGGCCCCTCATTTCTGATTAATGCCATTTCCTCTCATCTCTTGGTGCTGATAACTCTCTGAAGGTGGGGCATTCTTCCCCACTGCCGCCCTTCTTCTTCTGAGAGCCCCCAGCCAGCAGCAGGCCCTAGTGCCTGCACTCCCCAGCCTTGCCCCTTGCTGCCTCAGTGAGGCACTAGTGCCACTGCCTGGCCCAGCCAGGCCACAGCTCAGGCGCCGCAGGCATGCCT